GAAACTACCTGGCTCTGGTTACACCGTGCCGTGCTGGCGGCTTGCTCAACAAGCCGGCTTGGTATGTTAACGGGCAAGAGGCCACTTGTAGGCCGCTATGCCAGGAACCCTTTCAGGGTCCTAAATGCAAAGCATCTTTGGCTCTGCCCCACTTCCTGTGACCTACAACATCCGCCTTGCATCGCCTCTCAACTAAACGGGTCTGAAGTAGGGCAGCCTCTGACTTGTCATCTGTACATTTGTGACATCGGCAGGCTCTCTTTATGCGATGGGTGTCACGGTACACATCGCTTCGGAGCCTTAGAGAAGCAGACGGCAACACGGTGATGAAGGGACGTTTGAATGGATTTGCAGGAAATTCAGCACCCTGACTCGGCAGCGGGCTCTGGCCGACGGAATTGACCGATCGGACGCCATAGTGAATAGGGCCACCTGCGCCCATGAGGACGATGCAAGGCTGAAGCACCCAGAGGGCAGGCGGCAGCTGAGGCACGTGCTTGGGTCTTGACCCGTGAAGCTGTATGTGGTAATGGTGTTGCTGACCTGCCCACGGCAGCCCGCCGCATTCGAGAGCACCTCTTGCAGTGCACTGGGGGCCTCTGCCATCTGCTCCGTGGAGTTGGTGAAGTTGTCTTCGCCTCGAAGCCACATCATCTCTGCCCTAGTTAAGCCGGACTCTGGCTGTTGATGGCCCTTCAGCCAAATCCTGTGCGATGTTGCCTTGTAATTAGTGGTCGCCTTCTTTTGAAAAAGATGTCTGCAATGGGCAAGGGCCCGGGCTGACGATGTAATGAGTGACCATGGAGTTGCCGTTGAATGCGTTGGGCGTCCAGGAGATGTCGACCTGGGGGCGATCGTGACGTGGATGCAAACTTTCCGACTGCAGATGCAAATATTAACACAGCAGGATATGCTTCGTGTTCATCTACCGACATGTCTATCTATCTATCTATCTATCTATCTATCTATATGATCTGCTCTAACCCGGTCTCATCTGATCTAATCTAAGCTTGCTCCAGACTTACATGATCAGAGTCCTGCTTTCAGTCAGTCTTCCGCGAAGGGGGCAGGTTTTGGCGGTACCCCCTCAGCTTGTTTTGGTGTTACGCTGCGGTACAGACTTCGCAGTCGCAACATCAACTCTCCACTTGCCTTTACTTGGTTGGAACTCAAACACGAACAATGCCGATGCCTGACACTGCATCTTCTGAGCCGTATCATACATTAGCATCTTGCTTCCGTGGACAAGCACACGCATCTCGAGACATCGGGCTCTGCGTGGGAACTGCAATAGTTGGTGCTGCAGGGCGTATGTTGCTGATTTTTGTGGATGACTTCGCTATATCGCCAGTTGCTGCCGCTTTTGTATGAGCCCACCAATTCAAATCTGCAGCACAAATGCCTCCTCAATTTCACAATACGGCTTGTCGGTATCTCAGGCAGGAAGCACGAGGTCACAGGACCCTTCTTCTGGCAACTGGAAATCTAACCAAACCTGATTTAACTAGTCATCTGTCTGTACTCATGTACTTATTGGACTTGCTGTGGCATACGCAGTGGACACGTGTGCATGCATGCATACTTAAAAGCTCTTCGGGATTGAAGCATGCGGAGTGCGAGGAGTATGCTTGCTGAGCTCTCTCGCCTGTTCCGACACCGTGCTTGTGCAAGAGAGGAGCGTCGGCTCGCCGGGAACCTGTGCAAAGGATGCACACGGGGAAGACGGCATTGCGGGCTCTAGCATCGGAGACCCAAATCCCCCTTCGGGCTCCTCCGCGCTCACCAGCTCGATCGGCCCGGCCCACGAAGAGCCGACGCCAGCCACGTTCACCTGGCACTCGGTGGCTCAGGAAAACAGAAGGCCTGTCGCCAATAATCGCTAATGCCGATACTTCTTATGTCTTATGGTCGTGATGGAGCTGTTGTGCTTGTGGCGTACAGATATTGAGCATGACGCCTCGGGATGACCAGGTTCGTGCTCCTGCCCTTGCCGGCGATTCTGTTGATGCTGGCGACGCTTGTTGTGTCGCTCCTAGCGTTGTTGTTACGGATGGTGCCGCTGCTTATGACGATGATGTTCTTACTGCTGACGACTTCCGCCAACGTCACGTGCTTTCACCGTTGCCCGTTACCCGCCGGTAGTGGAGAGCAAAACATGACAGCTGCACGGCACGAACTTGGAAGTAGTAAGTGGTGCCTGCCGACACTGCCTCGGAGAAGATAGCAAACTACGGAGCAGGGGATGTCACAGGATCGTGCTGGCTGTACCATTGAGGCCGAAACCAGAGTAAAGTTCGTGTCGTAGTCGTTCACTGTCGTCTGCTTCGTCATGCTTCCAGTTGAGGTTCCTGCATAAACCTCGCAGCAGCGACAGGCTCAGCCGTGCAGTCGGCTTTTGCTGACAGTGGTGTAACGAATGCGCTGCAATGGCGCCTGGCCTACCGAAACTGTTGCCCGACACATCAACCATCATCCTATGCTTACGAGTTGCACGTAAGACTACGTACGATATGGCGAGCGCGCACACTCCTGCCGCGTGTAAGCCAAACCCGAAGCGGTGGCTCCACTTGGCCTCATAGATGATGTTGTCCACATTGTCTCCTCCAGCTTCAGCATCCGTCAGCAAAGGATCCCAACCTCAATGTCAACGGTAGCAGGGGGAACGTCCAAGACTGAAAGAGGGATTGTAGAAAAGTTGAAGTACGGGGTCAGCAGTTATCCGTGACGACAGTCTTGTGATGTTTTCTTTTACAGGAGGTCGGAAAGAGAGACCTCTCCACCCACCTACCAGACTGAGGTGCAAGGTTCGAGGGATCTGTTGTTTCTGCTGGGGCCTGGTGTGGTTCTCAAAGATGTGACTCTCGCCCTACAGCGCACCTGCCGCAAATCGCTGTGGGATGCCCAAGGCCGAGGCTGACTGAGATCTCACCACTGACGGCCGTGACACCCGAATGCCTCGCGTTGACATGAGCTTAAGCTGAGCCTCCCGATTGGGTGCATCGACCTTCCGAAGTTCGCAGGCGTGTTGGGGGCATCCAAGCAGTAGCCACGTGGAGGGTCGGTGAGCGACGACCAGCTGGACCTGCAGCACGCAGGCCACTTAGTCACTCTGTCGCGAGACCTTCTCTCTTCTGCTTCGGTCTGTTCTGGGGCCAGCGCCAGGTGCCGCTGCCCATCTTGTTGACCGCCCGCACGCGGAACTGGAACTGCTTCGTCCTGACGTCGAAAAAAGGCGGGCCGAAGTCTTCAGCTCCCTGCCGCCATCTGCCGTGCTGCCCTGCTCGAGGGCCGAGAGCCGGGCGCAGCCAAGTTCAAGCCCGTGAGGGTCCAAGTGGTCGATGTCTGGGGCGAGCCGCTGCTGCCTCCGGCGTCCCAGGCCTCGGCGATGCGGCTGCAATAATCTTCTTCCCTTTCTTTTAGAGCTGAGCTGTGCCAAGCCAAGCCGTTTGCCTGCGTCGTGCCGGCCGCGACGTCCCTCATCTCACCCAAGTAGTTGTAGATGAAAGCCCTGCCACAGAGAAGATGCGGTTCAGGACGGCTTCTTGTTGAAGTTTGGGGCCCGGACCCGTTATCCGAGGGGGCCGTCCAAGTGAAGCTGAGGGAGGGCGTGAGTGCGCCCGCTGTGTTCCTGACAAGTGTGCTCCAACACTAGGCACCAGGCGCCCTCACAGCGCTCTTTTTGCTGGTCTCGGCTCTTCAAAAAATGCTCGGCTCCCTGCACGAGGTCTGTGATCTGCGCGGGGATCGCGGCAGCGAAGAGGGTGGCAACCGTCGAGAGCGCTCCTTGCATGGCAATCACGTCCCACGGCACAGCGTGCTATCAAAATGCATAGCTATAGCAGAACTTTAGCTTTCATTAGGGGAGGGCACACATAGCTTTGGGGCCGACACCGACACCCCAGAGAGGCGAGGTGTGTCTCAGTCGGCGCACACATGACGTGCCGTGCTGTGGGCACCAGGCCGTGTTTCAAGAAATTGCACAGCACAAGAGAGCTGGCTCGCGCTGCATCAGCCCAGCATGAGTTCTCAATGCTCATTACGCTTTGACTTTTGCCCATGCTCAAGGCCCAATATTGAAGGTACGGAATGCCTGCATGACGTTACATGATGGGAGGGGCGTGCAAGCGTTGTGGACAAGAGGAGCCTAACGGTTTGCAAGACCTTCGCTGTATGGAAACATGCGGGTCCTTCCCCAACATCGTTGATGGCCAGCATCTGCACGGCATACCTGCAATGTAGGCTTAAGGGAGGCTTTGAACATGCTACATTCTTAGGGCCAGGGTCACGTGTCTCCAGAGTTGAGGCCAGTCAATGTGCAGGTCTGCGGTGCAGGGACCGTGTCCCTGTTGCACGTCGAATCCTGAATGATCATGGATCTTCCGTATCAAGGCCCCCGAAGCTGCAACAGAATTGGTCGTTCCGAGGCTCCGGTGAGCCATTCATCGCCGTGGCGCCGCCGTTGTTGCGGTAGACCTAGTGCCCCCCCTAGAAATAAGGCAATTATGCCAGTCTTCAGGAGAAGTGAGGAAGACAGTAGTGAGATTATTAATTAGCCCCATGCAACGCTGGGACCTTGAAGCCAACTGCATTGCCGCCTTCCATGCTGGGCACGCTGTAGACCTTGCTGGACCCCAGGGTTGCTATAGACTTCTGGGCTGGGCGGCTAGGCGGATCCCCACCAGGATGGGGTCATTCGGGAACCCAAGTCCGCCGTGAGAGCGACGACGTTGTTGCCAGGCCGCAATCGACCGAGAGCGGCTCTCTTCCAGCGCTCAAGTGCTGTGCCGTGCTTTCAGACCCGTTCGCTGTTCCAACTCGGATCGTCTGGAAGGCCGAGGAGTCGAAAACCCACGGTTTGGGGGGAGACGGGGTGACGAGGTTGGACCGCAAGACAAACACACTGCCAACATGCTGCCTTAACTGCGCAGAGCGTCATGTTCGCTGCAGGAACCCAACACGACTAAGCCGAGAACCAGGACGATGCTGGTGGCGCTGCCGGTGCTTGCATCCTAAGCTGAAAAAAAAAGAACAACAACACTGCTCTGCTCTTTGGTCGGTCCGGTCCTGAGTGGGTGGTGACATTTGAGCAGGCTCGCCTGCTGCCTGCAGGGCCAGGGCCACTGAGCCAGGGCCAGTCTCTGAGGTCCCGGTGAGTCGAGAGAGGGGTGTTCGGGTGTTTTTCTCGTCGTGCCTTGATGGAGACCCAATTGCTCTCGACGAAGCCGCCGCTGTTGTAGGCACGCACCCGGAAGGCGTAGAGCGTGCCAGATGAGAGGCCTCCCGTGCCATGCAGCCCACGGAGATTAAAATGAAAAACACCCCTTGCCAGAGGCAACGCCATCAAAGACGTCATGCAGAGTCACGGCATTTTTGCGGTGCAAAGACAAAGACTGCCTGTGTGTTGGTACTCCACCACGTTTGCAACCAGATCTTGGGCCAGCAACGATCTAAAACCCGTCTCTGCCTCCAGTGCACGACGTGCTGGCTGCTTGCTGAGATCCACACTTGTGTCCAAAGGATCCGTGTCATCGCCAACTCCTCGTGTTTACGCTTGGTTTCTGGCAAGGTGCACATGTGGCCCATCAGCCGTCCAAAGCCTGGATAGATCTCACCGTCCGATGTACCATCCAGGTTTGTGTCGATGTAGACACGATACCTGCAGAGAATCTCCAATCTCCGCATCGAAGTCAACAACTTGTGGCGAAACAGAATGTTGGAGAGGGACGGAAAGAGAGAGAGAGAGAGAGAGAGACAGACAGACAGAGACAGACAGATTTGAAAAAGGTGTGCTTGCTGCGTCTTGCATCTTCATTCAATGCTTGGCTTGGCATTTGGCCTGATCCGTTCCTGTCAATTACGTGAAGTTTGGCACAGATCACGATACAGATGTATGTCACACGGCTTGGCAAACAGTCCATGACCGGAGGGGGGGACTCCTACGAAGCAGTGTGCTGGGACCCTCCAGCCAAAGGAGCTGGTGATTAGGCCGGCTCGGCCGGATGCTGAAGGGAGTGAGCGATCCTTCCTTTTGCTCCGCTTGTAGTTTGTCTGGCTTCTCCAACAGCATGCGCCTTTCCCTGAAATGTTTCCACTTCTTGGGAGAGATGGCTGACCTTGCAAGCCTGCTAGAAGCCTACCACAAGTGATGGCGTCGTGGCAGTAAACTGGACTGTTCATGTTGCTCGCCATGTCCCCTGACTTCATGCCGCACGGGCCCAGACTCCAGACTGCCCTGGGGCACCCTGTGATTGGGCAGCCATTGTCAGCCGGCGCCGTCCACTCCAGCGTGATCGTGGTCGCAGTGGAAGCTTTTCGGGACTCGGTGCAGCGCAGGCACTCGCACTCACTGCAGCTGCAGCTGAGCAGTTTCCTTTGGGATCCGGCGGGTGCATTTGGGGTGTCCGGCAGTGGGCAAGATCGCAGCGTCAAAGCTGTCGAGAGATCCGACTCGGCCGTGGTGGTCACCACACTGACCTGTCACACCCGGCAAGTCTAAGTCTTCCTGTCACTGTGGCTCTTTCAGCCCCCTGCCTGCACGACGTACACGGAATTCGCGGTCAGACCAGTTGCGGTGTAGGACCGCGAAGACCTGTCGGCAGCTACGGCCCCACCCCTGTTGTCACAAGTCGCAAGTGACCGGGGCCCCCTCGTGTCCGCAACCGTGTCACGCAGGGCCACGGCGCCGCCGAGACCGTCATCCATGTAGATCTGCCAGGCTTTTTCGACCCCGCTTCGCTTTTCCATTATGCAGCTCCGGGCCTTGAAGGCCAAGAGCTCCGCGCCATTCAGCGTACCTCACGAAAGGAGAAGCCCCAAAAAAGACGGAAGCCAACAGGTCTGCCCTCCGAGACTTGTGAAAAAAAAGCACCCTCTCCGAGGAGCAAACCCTCCGCAAAGTTCACTGTCACCTGTGGGGCTCTCAGTATCAAAAGGGGGCATCTCAGTGTCACCCATGGAGCTCAGGGCCGAGGCCGCATTCGAAGAGCCAGAATAGCCGTTGGTCCTCGACCGGTCGAGTTGCGAGCGCATCATAACTTCGAAACACTGATTTACAGTCTACAGAGACGTGTCGAGGACCCTGCACCGTTGGTGCAGCGGGCTTGTCCGCGCAGAACAGGCGGCTGATGGGAGAGTACCTGTCAAAGCCACTCCTCTGCAAAGGGTGCCGTGCTTTTGCAAGCATGATGTAGATTGGTTGCAAGTTACCTTCCATGGCTCGGACATCTTGCCCAAAACATGGCTAGGATCCCGCAGCTAAGCGCACTGGCCGACGCCCACGCCGGTCACTGCAGCAACCTTCTGCTTGGATTTGCAATCAGACAGTACCAGGTTCCCTTGCCTCCCGAAATAACACGAATCCTTAAAGGAAAGCATTTGTGGCTGCGGCCCTGATGTACACAAAGTTCTGTGACCGATCTTGGCCTCTCATGCACGGCACTGTGCTTTGGTCTGTTTTTGGCGGCGCCTAATTTAGCCCCCGGCCACTGATGCCGGTGCAATCCACCACCACCTGCTCCGTGCCTTCACAGAGACGCGTCTGCCAGTGCAAGGAGAGCGCGTTGTGGATCTCAGGCAGCAGCCCACGGTCGTCGTCGCACTTGGCGAGCTGGCTGCAGGCCAGTTCGAAGCTGCAAAGCCCAGGGCGTAGTAGATGTTCCTTCGGATTAGCTAGCGCCGCGAAAGACGGGAGGACTGGGAGGATTCGAGGACCACACCAGCTGGTGATTGACGAGCCGCCGTCCGAACCTGAAATTGCGGGTCGGGCCGAGAGCCGCCCAAACGCCAGCAACACGCCCGATCGTCGCGCCTGAGAAGGTCCAGGCAACCTGAGATTCCGAGGAAGATCGGAGAGCCGACCGTGAGCCCTTCGAAGCTCGAGTTCCACTGATCCCAAGGCAACGACGGTCAGTTCGTTGTTGTTCTGGGAAGAGACGTAGTAAGGTGCCGAGGGCGCATCGGCATCGGCACCTGGGCAAGGCGTCTCCCATCAGCATCGACAGAGGTCTCTGCCTTTCTGTTCTGCGCGCGGGAGCTCGTCCTTTTTGTCTGGCGTGGGTCGTGAGATGCTCGTGGCCGGTGAGACCTGCAGGAGATCACTAGGAGTCCACCTGCATTGCAGCAGGTGCCACCTGTGCCAGAGTGGAAGCACCGTCAGACGCGTAAGGAGCGGAAAGTGTCACAAGCAAGCAGCTTCGAACAGCGCCTTGGGCGAGGCCTTCGGCGAGGCCTTGGGCGAGCTTTTGGACCTCAAACAACATCCGGGATCTTCGCGAAAAAATCCGGTGTCCGTTCAGGCCCCCGGGCTTGGTCTTCGGTGACTTCTTTGGCCCCGTTTTGGTCTTTCCTTTCGCCTCAGAGGGGCATTGGACTCCTCTTCTCTCGCGCCTGCAGGAAGTTGCTGGATGGAGGAGCCTTGGCTGCGCCTTCCTTCGGCCGGGAAGCCGCTTGCTTCTCTTGGTATCGAGCACTCCTGTGAAGGACGCGCCCCCCCCCCTGGCCCCCTTTCAGAAGGCGCGACCCCGGACTCCCCCTCCCTGGCCTGTTCTTCTTCTTGTGTTTCAGCCTGACGAAAGCGTCTCTACACTCTCCCCGGCATCTCGACATTGGCTGCGGGGCAGCCACCGAAAGGTCTCGGGCACCGGCTTTTTGCTTTGGTTCATGAGGCTCACGCCGGCGCCGCCGGATTTCCCTGCACCACTTCCACTGCTCGGAAGGAGGTTTTTTGAACCCTGCTGAGATGCCGGCCACGCTTTGCCATTGCAAAAGGCGAGCGCAAGGTGGGGGAACACTAGGACGATCGACACAGGCGGGAATCGAACTCTCACCTAAGCTCTGCAACTTCCAAGTCTTGCTCCTGCAGCTCTTTGATCATGGCGGCATGGCCGACTCTTGGGGATTAATTTCTTGCGGCCCTCACTCTGAGCCACAACGAAACCGGGTAAAAGACACAACTCCGACTCTCAGGCTCACCTTCGAAGCTCTCTGTGGGCGAGTTCGACGAGGCCTCTCTCTCTGCTTGCGTTTTTTTCTCCAGCGAACTCTTTGGCTCCGCTTCGGGGAGCGGCTGGGACCTACCAGTTGATGACCACGCAGACCCGGGAGGGCCAGAGCTTCAGGTCGGAGACCGTGCAGTTGCTGAAGCCTGCACTTCACATGGCAAGCCTACTAAACCCTAACTAAACCCAGTAAACGGCACCATCGGATGACCCTGAGCCTCGCAGCTCGAGGGCCTCTTTCAGGGCTTTCGCCGGGTCCCGGTTCAGCATGATCATGGCGCCGTAGAGCCTGAGAAATCAGCCAAGACTCGGCCCCCCCCCCCCCCCCCCCCC